CCCTGGGGAGGAGCAGGAGATTTTGGGGATGGGGTCTCCCCTGTGTTCCCCTCCCACCCCGCGGTGTTTGGGGTTCGGGTGGTCCCACCGTGCTCGAAGCTGTGGGGTGGCTGTGCCCCGTTTTTTGGGACGGCCCCTCCCGCAGAGCTGCGGAGCCTCTGCCGCGCTTTCCCCWCCTGTGGGAATAAATACCTGCCCGTCGAGCCCTGGCAATTACCGGCGAGTTAATCACCATATTAAAAACGACAGTGATATGACTTTTTCAGGGGGGAGGAACCCGTTTTTACGAGCGGCCCCACCCYGTGGCCCATTTCTCCGGGGGGGTTGGCGAGGGGAGCGCTGTCCCCGCACCCCAAAAGGACAGCGCAGCGCTGCGAGAGCGGCACGGGCGTGCCCGGGGCCGGTGGGCGTTGGCTCTGGGAGACCCTCGGGGCACCGGCGGGTGCTGCACCCACGGCAGGGCAGGGCCCTCGCCCCCTCCCCAGCCCCGCCGCCCGCGGGCGATGATTCACCGCGATTTTCCTTTTAAGGCCGCGCTCGGCGGGGAGGAAGCAGAGGAGGAGGAGGAGGAGGACACTCCTTGGACCTGGCTGGCTCCTCCCGCTCTCGCTCGAGGCTCCGACGCCCAGCCAAAAGCGAATCCCGGCGGCCGCGCTCGGCAGAGGCTCCCACGGCTCCCGGCCCCGCTGCTCGCCCGAATCCGCCCGCGCCGCGTCCCAGCCATGGCAAGAAACCACCAGGTGCAGAAAGCCAAGCTGGCCGAGCAGGCTGAGCGCTACGAGGACATGGCAGACTTCATGAAGGCCGTGGTGGAGCACGGGGACGAGCTGTCCAACGAGGAGCGCAACCTCCTGTCGGTCGCCTACAAGAACGTGGTGGGCTGCCAGCGCTCGGCGTGGAGGGTCATCTCCAGCATCGAGCACAAAACCGAGGAGGGCGACGACAAAGCGCAGCTGGTCAACGAGTACCGGGAGAAGGTGGAGCAGGAGCTGAACAGCGTCTGCAACAACGTGCTGGGCTTGCTGGACAAGTACCTCATCAAGCAGGAGAGCGACCCCGAGAGCAGGGTGTTCTACCTGAAGATGAAGGGCGACTATTTCCGATACCTGGCCGAGGTGGCCACCGGCGACGACCGCAAGTCGACGATAGAGAAGGCCCAGAAAGCCTACCAAGAGGCCATGGACATCAGCAAAAAGGAGATGCAGCCCACGAACCCCATCCGCCTGGGGCTGGCCCTCAACTTCTCCGTGTTCCACTACGAGATCGCCAACGCCCCCGAGCAGGCCATCTCCCTGGCCAAGACCACCTTCGACGAGGCCATGGGCGACCTGCACACGCTCAGCGAAGACTCCTACAAGGACAGCACCCTCATCATGCAGCTGCTCAGGGACAACCTGACGCTATGGACAGCCGAGTGCGCCGGCGAAGACGGCGGCGAGCCTGGCGAAGAGCCCAAGAACTGAACGTGCCCGCCGAGCCGGGGCCCGGCCCCACCGCCCCCGCTCCAGACCCTTCGGCATCTCTTCATGGTTGTTTTTTTGGTTGGTTTTTTTTGTTTTTTTTGGTTTTTTTTTAATGGTGGGGGCAGGAGGAGTCTCAGCTCCTCCACGGCCACCCCAGCCTGGATGCCGGGGGTGGGGGTGGTTTTGGCAGGGCCCCTCCCTCCCACTGCCCCATCCTCTGCTCTGGGGAGGGGGAAAAGAGGGACAGGGGGTGCCTCCATCCCGAGAGCTGCCAGCCCCCAGCTATTTAACTTCTTTTTGTGAGGGATGCCTGGTCTGGCTCATGCCGGCTCCAAAGCCCCGTCCCAGAGGGCTGGAGGAGGTGAGGGGCCGGGATGGGCAAGGGGGGTCCGGGCAGCCCCCCCGGTCCGGGAGGGGGTCGGTGATGCCGAAGCCTCTGTGCGTCTCCAATAAACCTTCTCCTGCAGCTCTGCCTCTCTCTGCCTCATCTCTGCCTCATCTCTGCCTGCGCACGTGTCCGGGCAGCTCCCAGCGCCGCCGGGCACCCGCCTCGCCTCC